AAGTTGCAGTTTCCCTCTTTATACACTGGGGTTAAAACCAATCTTCTTATAGGGTTAAGTAGTTTCTCATTGGTTGTTACTTAAGAACTCTCCTCACCATAAACACACATACATGTGTGCATGAGTGTGCACACATGTATCATACACACACACACACACACACACTGAGATCATTGACCAGATCTCAAGTCTAAATCTTTGCTCCTGACAGCCCAGCTCTCTTCGAGCCAGAGCCACAGATGCAATCTTGGAAGGGAGGCTTCCTTAGTCTTAAGTTCTAACAAGTGGAACGAACAGAACTGTCAAGTTCATGTAAGACAAAATAAGAAATGTAGTTAAGAAAACAGCAACAGTAGTTGAAAAGTGGTTATTTCCAAGGCTTTACGGTTTTTATGGACTAGTAATAGTATAAAATCTTTTTTGGGGGGGAACTAAGGTTGTCAAATTTTTGTTTTGCTAAACAAGGACTCAAACGAAAACTAGGTATTGAAGCCACCCTAACTACAGTGCTAATTCATACAAAAAGTGAACATGGTTAGCTTTGTATTGCTCTTAATACTCTTGTTTTATCCCTAGTAGCGAAACTCTCCATGGACCCACAGCCAACAGCAGATGAGTGTGGGACTTTCACTGTAGGGAATATACCACTGAGCATGGACAGAGCTGAGGGTACAAATTATGAACATATTTTGCTGACCAGAGCTCCTGGAAGCTGCAGCCAGGTCAAAAACCCAATTTTGAGGGTTCTACTTCTGCAAACACTCAGAGGCACATACAGACTTTACCATTTTAGGTCTCTCCCACCTTACTTCACTATATAAATAAATCATCCCTCAAGAATAGCACAGCACAGTCAACATGGCGTGTCTCTGAGGCACAGTATGGCATTTCCTCATTTATCCTATTTGTCCTGGTCTGCTCCGTAGTACCACATGGAAACCTAGAAGAGTGGATCTTCTACAATCTACACTCACCATAGTCTCTTTGTTTCTTTGCATCCATTTCTACAAAGTTAAATGTCACATTGACAAAGTCAGAAGACCCATAAGACCTGTATCATTCATTCAATAAATATTTATTGACAATCTGTGCACCAGACTTGGAGTAGGTGGTGATGTATAGGGACAGACAAGTGCAGTTCTTTCTTATATGCAGGAAAAATATGAATTAAACACATATATAAATATATAATTATGAAATGTGACAAAACAGAAAAAATAGGAGTGTTATGAGAGAGTGTTATAGATGGAGCAGTTAAGAAAAGCTTCCCTGAGAAGATGACATTTAAACTAAAATCTGAAAGATTAGAAGTGGCTAGTCATTGTTTTTGTCATCTTGCAAGGACTTTCCTTTCTTCTGGTAACAGAGTCCTGATGCTCATCTTTGTGGACGTTGATTCAAACTGTCCTCTGGCTGAAGACAGCATGTGACCAGGCTAGGCCAGGCAAATTTTCTTCTAGGGCTTGGAATCTAGCAGAGAGTAAGGCAAGCTCAGAAGCAAACAACATGGGTTGTTTTAGTAGCTGAGCCTCCAGCATGTGTCTGTCCTCCTTACATTCCTGAGGTGTCATGGTTCTTGAACTTCCTGAAACTTGGTTGAAGAGATTGTGGATTACCTACCTGTCATCTAAACTTTTGTTTATACTACCCCTTAATTGTTTTTCATTGCTTTCAACTTTAGTGGGTCTCCAGGAATAGGATTTAGCAAAGTGAAGAGTGTAGGACAGAGCAGATCAGGAGAGGGTATAGCAAGTACACAGGGCTTGAAGTATAGAAGAGCTTGATTTGGGGAACAGAAAGACTTCAGGGCAGAGTGTGCTGAGCGGCAGAGCAGAACAATGCTTCTGTAGGGCTATGCTGCACCAGACTTCGTGGAGCTGTGAGGCCATATTCAGAGTTGGGATCTCATGCTAAATATAAAAGAAAGTTGTAGACATACTTTGAGAGTAGGCAAAATATTTTAAATAGCAGCAAATGTCAAAAGGAAAAACAGAACAGTTCACCAGTGTAAAAAACCTTAAAATGGTCATCCCAATTGTGGTCTGAGCAAGCTGTAAGATTTATCTCTTTTAGCTTCAGTTTCCTTATCTGTAAAATAAAGTGGTAGATTAACTGATCTTTGTTCCTTCTTTGATGTTTTGTGATTTGTCAAGAAACCTTATCAATAACCTTAATTGTCACTAAGGAGTTTACATTAAGGGAGAGAGATAAACACACCCAAACTCATGATGCTGGCCTGTTCTAGCCATTTCAAGCAGTTATTTAAAACTTTTGGTAGCTTACAAGCTGATTTTGCAAGCCTATTCTGATGTTGACTGCAAAACGATTTGAAACTGCAGTACTAGTCTTAGTAACTATTTCAATAACCTTTTTTTTAATGTAACTCATGACCTCCTATGGGCCAGGCAGGTGCTTACCCGAGCTGACCTAAGTCCCGCCACCCTTCAGTAGAGAACTCTGAAAGAGGATATTTATATAAAATGTGACAGTCTGCTAAATTTAGACTTAGTGACTTCACCTGAAAGCTTCATGGCCAAAAACATTAGCAAGAGTACTGATTCCAGGGTGAATTTCACCAAGACACTACTGTTAAACTGTAAAAATTACTGTTAGTGATGTGTGCACTAATTACCTATTGTACAACAAATCATGCTAACACTTAGTGACTCTCACAATTCTGGGGCTGACTGCGTTATTTTTGTCTGTTGTTGCCTGGGGCTCTCTCATTCATGTGACTGAATTTAGCTGGCAGGTGGCAGAGCTAGGAGGGCAAGCCTTCCTCTCCTAGGGCATTTCATTCAGAAGGAGGTTGGGCTAGGTTTTTCATTGCAAGTTTAGGGCAGCATTCCAAAACAGGAGCAAGGCACACATGGTTACTCATCAAATGTTGTATTTGTTCATGTTCCAGGGGCCATGACACACCAAGACACACCATCAATGCAGGAGGATACCACACAAAGGCACCTTGGTTAGCGTGTGGTCATTAAAAGCCATTAGTGTAGCAGTACACAAAGTTTCCCTCTTAGACTTGGATTGCAAGATATGTAAGCAACTAACTTGTAAATTAGGGCACTTCCATCAGGACACCATATATATGTTATTACTAGTGTAAGGGCACAGTTAGAGTCACCTAATTAAGGGCCTGAATCCTACATCAATGGCTCTGCTTGCCTCATAAAATTACTCATTAATTTTAAGCAAAGGCTTTGAGAAGTTATGTGCAAAATATTTAGAGGAAAACAACATTTGCAATAATGAATTACAGCACTCCCCCACTGTAATACCACGGCCTCAATTTGGATCTTTAGGCTTACTAATTCTATACTCAGTCACATCCTTTCTGTGTAAACACGTTTATGTGTGTGTCTGTATCATCCACCGCGGCTCAGATTCCTTCAAGGGCAAGAACTTTACCTCACTCGTTTGCTTCCCCTCACCTTCCACTGCCAACAACACTAAATGGACACTCTGTAAGCACTTGTTAAATAATCACTAAGTGCTTTTACTAAACACTCACGTGTTCTAGGGGCTTTGCTCATAGAGAGGATTGCTTCTCTCCCAGGATCACAAGATGTTATTCTCCAGTTTCCACTTGACTGAGGTGCATAAAACCCAAGGTCATGGGTTGGGACTCCAGTCTGAGTCCCACTGATGCTACTTCACTGTATTGTTGGTTTGTGTGCAGACCAGAAAGAAAATTTGTTAAGCAGTATGACAGTGTGTTTGAGACAAGTTCAGGAAGAGATCAGGAAGGGGCAGTATACATCAAGGGACCTCGGTTTATTGCCTTTGATATCAACAAAATAAACTTGTTAATTAAGAGAGGACCTCAGAAACCCAGGTGGGAAATCTGCAGAAGAGCCCATTAAGTTCTATAGATCTTAAAAACCAAATCAAACCAAATAAAATCAAGGCCTGCTTCAGAAGATGGATAGAAGCCTGCCTGTCATGGGGCTGATGCTAAGCAGCAGTTTACAATATCATACAACCAAGATTTTGCCTAAGGTTGTCTTCAGGTGAAAAGGCAGCCATTATTATCACTTGCTAGATCAGTAGTAACTATACAAAAAATAAGCACTACATTATGCTGTACGCATCAGAGAGCTGTGTAAAGTACCTTAGAGTGTATGATCTCAGTTAATACAATAATCTTATGAAGTAGGTTTCATTATTCTTAATTTCTAGATGAGTTAATTGTGGCCCGGGGAGATTAGCTTTCCTGAGACTGCTCAGATTCTGAGTGGCTGACTTAAAAACCTAACTGTGTTTCACTAAAAGTCCTGAATAACATTTGGCACAGGGCCTTGTGAGGCTTTGATGCTGGTCTAAGGTGGGAAACTGTCAATCCCATTTAGTTATGCTGAAGTGTGCACGTGTAAAAAGGCGGCGGTTCAGGCTCTTGGTCGGTGAGGCATAAAAAACCTACTTGGGAACAGAGCGGTGGAAATCCCTCCCGGTTCTCTCTCGCGTCGGCTCCTTTCACAAGACTTCAAGGCGCACTTCGGGATTCCAGACCCAGGCTTGGGAGAGAGGCCGGTGAACGCGCTCCTCGCGCTGTTGGCCCCAGCCGCCTTCCTCTGCGATCTGCCCCCTCGGGGCGGGAAGCGAGCCTGCAGGAAGCCGACTTCCTGTGCCGGCCGCCAGCCCGAAGCGCCCCAGGACCCCGCGTGGGCGGCCCGCCGGCGTTAGGGTTAGGGCGGGAGGATTCGGCTTCCCGGCGGCAGAGGGCGCCTGGCGCTGCGGTCCGGCGCGCCGGAGCCGCCCGCGCGGGCGCCGAGAGAAGAGGCGAGGCGAGCGGGGAGCGCGAGCGGCGGCCACTGCCACGTCTTCCCGGCAGTGGCGGCGGAGGTGGCTCCGCGGCAGGTGGGCAGGGAGCAGCGGCCGGGCGGGCGCGGGACGCCGGGCGCGCGGGGGGCGGCGGCGGGACAGCGCCGTTCCCGCCGCGGCGCCTCCGCCTCTGCCTCCGCCTGCGCAGCGGGTGCCGACCGAGGCCCGGCGCCCAGCGGTCCCGCGCGCAACTCGCGCCGGCGGGCGGGACCTACGGGACGCGGGCGCGGACGGCCGTCGCGGCTCGGGACGAGGCCACCCAGCCGCTTCGGGGCCCGGGCTGAGGCCGGCAAAAGTTGGGGCGGACGCGTGTGCCGGGCGGGAAGTGCAGGTGAGGGGCGGCCGGGCGGGCCCGTAGGGGAAGGGGAGGACGCCGGCCTTTTCGTGCGCCCTGGGTCCCCGGGAGTGCGCGGAGAGGAGACCCAGGGCGGGGGACCCGCGGGGTACGCTGCCGGCTGTGCCCCGTCCCTGCCTCTGGCGGCCAGACTCCGAGAGAGAGGTCAGACCCAGCCCTGGGGCCGCCTGTGGGGTCCGAAGCCCCGGGGGGAGTTCCGGTAGAGGGTGGGTGGGAGCTGAGCGTGGCTTCCTCTGCCGCAGGGCCAGGTAGGGGCCTCCTCGCTGCCCGCGCTCAAACTGCTGGGCTGTGGTCCTGGGGAAGTTAAGGAGGGACAACCATTGAGTGGTCTGTTGCGGGTTCCAAGGTGAATAGGATGGACTGGGCTGCGTGGAATCATAACTGTCTGAAAAAAACTCCTCTATCTCCTCACCCCGTTCCCTGTCCAGTACTGCGTACTCCAGGTTCCCCGACTCTGAGATACACCCTGGGTTGTGCTAGCAACTTCCCAGAACCCAGCACCACGTCAGCTCACAGCTTTGTGGGCAAAAGATGTGGCCGTTTAGTCTCTAGCGGAGGTTGGTTATTTCACAAACAAGTGGTTGTGGAAATGCTGCGTGCTTTATAAGAACCACCCGCGTGGTGCCTCTTGACAAAGGAAATGATTCGTGTGCGTGTGTGTCTCTGTGTGTGTGTGTGTTTCTTTTTCCTCTCTCCCACATAAACTTTATTCGGGATACCAACATGCCAGGTCATTTGGAATAGTGACAACAGCTGGAGACTAAGGATGTGGGCCTTATGGGTCCTTTTTCTCATCTAGATGTGTCAGCAAGGAGTGTGATCTTGAATAAACCACTGGCCCTCTCTGGACCTCCGTTTTCCTATCTGTAAAGTGGACTATACAAAAAGCTAGATAATCTGATAAAGACAGAAGTAGGTTTCTGAGAGCTAAATGTTTGTGAAGTTAGGCTAGCTACACAAACTCAGCCTATTCTTATAAAGAAATTAACATAGATTTGAAAGAATACAAATAAGATTAAAAAAGGAAACAAAAACAATAATCAGTACTATATTTACAACATAAATACTGTTCCAATGCAGTCAAATAGTGATGTTGACTGTCCTGTCTTTACTATAAAGTTGCTACCTATGCATGGAAATTATTACATGTATTGCCTGTGGGCCTTCACTTTTTTTCCCCAGCCATCAAGCCTGATGCTCAGATGGTTTGTCTTTGTGAGGCCTCACCTGAAAGACAATTTCCAGATTTTTTTTTTTTTTTTTTGTCTTTTTCATTTTTATCGGTACCGGGGATTGAACTCACAACCGCCTGCTTGCAAGGCAGGTGCTTATGCCGCTGAGCTAAATCCCCAGCCCCCAATTTCCAGATTTTTAATTTCCGTACTACAGGTTTCTTCCAGTCTAACTGATGCTGGTCCTTACACATTCTCACTTCTGCTTTTCCACTCTGGTTTGAGCAGTGGTGAGCTGATTCCTGTTGCATCTGTCATTTCTGAATTAACCTGTTTTCTTTTCAAGTGAATACAGTAAATAAATGGACTGTGTACTTAGATGCAGCACATTAAAAATAGCTCCGAGCAGCAGACCACCCTCCCTGTCCCCCATTTCCTGTGTCCCCTGGGCAGTCTCTCGCTGAAGTTCTGGAACCGTTTTGGATGCTGAGGACCATCACAGAATTGAAATGACTGGGGTTAAATAGCACATTAGTGATCAAGCATGGTGCTGGATGGCAAAAAATACTTCATTATAACCAGGTACTCCTGCTCTCTTCCCTTAGGAACATTCAAAGTCCGTATTGCGTTTGACCACATCGTTTTCAGTACTCCTTTTTGTTTTATTTTTTGGTTGGTTTCTTGGAAGCTGCAGTTGTGAATTTTCTCTGAGTTTTAGATAGTGGTAAAATGATATCTTTAGGTAAAGACTTGACAGTTGGCCGAATCTTTAATATATCAGAAGTGTAAATGTGTGTGGATTTTACTTTAACTGAGGGCTATTAAGTTAATAGAAATCATGATGTCAGTAATAGTTACCATCTGAGCTCCTGCCGTTTATTAGGCACTGTGAGGTAGGAATGAGTGTCAGTTTACAGGCGAGAAAACAAAGCTAAGCTCCAGCACAGTTATGTTACAGCAGGTTTGCACAAGTTCCTGATGATTGTTAAGTCCAGATAGCCTTTTGTAATGGTGGAAAGGGAATTCTTAGCTGTTTCCTGGGGTTGTGAGAATTAATGAGATCACGTAAAAAGGATCCTGTAAACTATAGCATGATCCTTAACCTCTGACATTTTATCGTGATTGCTGGTAGACCCTGAAAATGGGTGTGCGAAGTGGTGAGTTCAGGTGTCTGATGGCCCTGAATATAAGTCCTGAGCCTGTCACCTGACCTCTGTGAGCCTGGTTTCTGCGTATGTACAAAAAGGGTTAAACTGTCTGCTTTGTGCTACATAAAATGTACCTGTGAATTGCAGTAGGTACTAGGATAAGGTTGGGCACTCCTTTCTTTCCCTTGCACTTGGGCACTCCAGATAATGGGATTGATTAAGTCTTCCAGTAGGAATTGTCCTCAGGGGAAAAAAGCTTTTAAAGCACATTTTTGTCCTTATGAATAATTCTCCCAGCTTTTGCATCCCTACCTTTATGTATTCTAGGACCCATAATAATCATTGAGTCCAAAAAGAAGGGTTTGAATAAAACCGGAAGTCAGAAAGAACAGATCTTTAGTAAGAGATCAAAGGGTCTTGCCGAATTGCCTAGGCTGATCTGGTACTCTTGATCCTTCCACCTCAGTTTCCAGAGTAGCAGGGGTCACAGCGGCGTGTCACCACATCTGGCTCCTTTTTTATAAAAATCATTTGTTCAATGGGGAAATGATACTGAATTTTAGAGGTTTCTGGCTAATGGAGGACCCTAGGGAGATGATACTGAATTTCAGGGCTTTCTGGCTGATGGAGGACCCTGGAATTTCAGGGGTTTCTGGCTGTAGCACAAAGTGGGAGGGCGGAGTGAACAGGAAGGAAATGGAGGATTTGAATGTGGCTGGTAGTAGAAGTAGGAAAGTTCAGCGGGGCGGAAATGGCTGTTAGATGTAGGATTTGGTTAAATATGAGGCCAGTTAGCACCTAGCCCTGTGGTCTTTGCGCTCCCAGCAGATTTTGACTGGTTGTGGTGGCACTGTAAATGAGTTTCCAGAGTTAAGTTGTATGCTGAAAAGGAAATTAAATTCGAAGAGGGTGTTTGTTGTGACTGATGCCAGAATTTCTCTTGAGAATTTTATTAAGATTCAGTCTGTCTATAACGGTACTTCTTAGTTCTCTGAAGGTATTAATTAAGAAACAGTTTTAAAAAAATAGATGTATCTCCTTTGTGAGCCTTTGAGGTGTCATATCCCTAAATCTTTATAATAAATGAAGTTCAAAACATCATAGAGGTTTGTATTTTAAAAGCTTTTTCTCTTGAAAGAAATGTTTTCTTTCTCTTCTCATTCCTTCCCTCCTCTCACATTGTTTTGATAAGGAGTTAATTTTGGTTTCTTTCACATTTTGGTATCCTGGCTTTTATATTTGCAGAGCTCCCATGTGCCTTTTCTTTTGGATCAGTTCTTGCTCACTCACTGTTATGAGATGGTACAGCAAGGTGATGAAGAGTGTACCGCCTGTGCCCCTAGGGGCTGGGCACAGTCTCTTGAGTGATAGATGCTTTACAGTTTGGACTTAATTCTTACAGCAGATCAGAGAGTTGATCATGTTATTCCCAGTACACCATGGTGGAAAATGGGACGGAAACACATGTGTCCAGTCAGTTGTTACTTATCAGATTAGTGATCTGTGGGACACCATAGCCTGTATTTGCCTTGATGCTGGAAAGGCAGGCGGGGGCTTTGCTGGCTGCACTTAGGATAGGAAGCAGTCCTGTAAGTTGGGAGTGCCATTAAGGAAGAAAAGGTCACGTCTGTGTTTTAGAAAGATGGCTTGGTAAGATACTTGGAGTATGAAGTGGAACAAGTAGAAATTAGTAGAGGAAGGAGTCTGTTAAAGTAATCAGTCTGAGATATGATGTGGACTTGAAAGTAAGACACTGAGACGGTGGCCATGGTGATGTAGAAAAGGGGACATGTTAGAGTCGGAAGAACCCTGGCCCTCTGGGAACTGGGAGATGGAGAATTCAAAGCCCAGCCTTGCCTTTCCTCTTTCTCCTCATCTTCCCCGCTGTAGTTCTGAGTCCCCAAGGCTGTATGTTGGAAGTTCTAACTCTCCCTAGACTAAAAACAGTCTTTACAGAAACCAAATTTGCCTTCTTTAGTCTCTTGCTGATAGCATGACACAGGTATTGAATCCAACACCTGAAAGAGCCTTAGCTTCTGTGTCCTTAGCCTTTGGCCTTATTCTTCCCTCTCGAGAAGCATCTCAGAGGATGGGAATCAGGCCTTCTCAGGTCCAATTTAGGGAAATGTTGGCTTGAACGCTTAAACTTTAAGCAAACAGTACTAAAGGGAAAATGCTACCGAAGAAAGAAGCTTGCCTGGAGTAAACCCTGTACATCATTATTCCCTGGTAACTTGCCAGGGGACTTATTCCTCACTTCTGGCTTTTCTCTAAGATCTGATATGCCCCAGGCGGGGTCGGCTTGTCACCAGGCATGTCAAAGTGACATGAGGAGGGAGAGAAGAGCGGATGAATGTGTAGTGATGAACAGTGGCCACCTTCCCATGACTGCTGGAGTCTGTGAGAAGCCAGGCTGACAAGCACAGGGAGATGGTTGGTTGGTGCCCTCATTGTGGGACACACTGTCACCATGTGGTTTTATGTTGTCTGTGCCAGACATGGTAGTAAACTGGCTTTTAGGCTTTCAGAATTCATAGAGCCCCTGCCTTTCAGAGATTTTGTTCTTGTGTTGGCTGGGCTGGAGACCAGTCGATCAGGTCTGGCTTTGCTTGGGCTGTGTAAGAGGCAGCCAAGGTCTGTGTATTGTGCCTCAGTGCTTCCCAGCGTTTTCACTTAATGCCCAGCTCTGCTGGTGTGTCTCCTTATAGACCCCTCTGGCCACTTTCTGTTTGGATGCTTACTCCTTTCTTTGGAGAGGTGACCTCTTTCCTCTTGTTCTCAGGGGACCGTTTGTTTGTGTGGTAGGAGCACTTGCCAGACAGAGCACATATTTTAACTAGAGAAAACTGTTTTTGCCCTAGGCATTAATTGTCATGCCTATCTCTTGAACATTGTGTCCTCAGCAAAGCCTCTTTGCTGTTCTTCTTTTTGTTGTATGTGTGTGTGTGCGTCGCACGTGTGCATGTGTTGTGGGTGTATTTGTTTTAGCTATTACTGAGGAGAAAAAGATACTTACCAAATGTTTAAATCTACAACAGTGTCATTGCTCTGGCAAACAGATAAATATATGTTTAGCCAGCGTACCACTGATTTCTCTTTTTCCTGTATTTTGGCAGAACCGTCTGATCTGTATACTGGTGCAGTCTGGATTTCAGTAGTGAGTGTGAGAAGACTTCTGGGCTGCTTGCCGAAGTGGAGGAACTCCAGTGAGTGTGCTTGAGGGCCGCCAGGCTTGGCTGTCTCTGCATCCCAGGAGCGTAGCGGTTGGGAAGGTGGAGCCTGACCAGACCCTTTCCTCGCCATGTCTGAGAACAGCTCTGTCGGCAGCAGTGAAGCTTTCCTCTCTGGTGTGGCAAAGGGAATTTTCTCTTAATCTCGATGTTGGCTTTTGTCTCTTCCTGTGGGGGTGGGTGAAAGGGAAGATGGCTGTAGAACCTTTGAATTAGGGAGATGGTAGATTCAGGGTAGGGCAGGCTTGCAGCTTGTGAAGAGCTTTTACCAGTTTTCCTTGCACCACACATCTCCTTCCTTCCCCTTTGGTCCTGGTCCAGTAATCGGAGCTTCAGAAACTGGACTTGAACCTTGTTAGTCCACTTTAAATCAGCACAAGTGCTGCCTGCATGCTGGTGCATTGGTGCAGCAGTTTCACGTTGGCACTACCCTGTTGGGTAGTAGTGTTCATATTCAATTCAGATGCTTTTTTCTTAAATTGTATAGGCAGCATGTGAATATATTCTGCTTTAGCACCCAAGCTTCTGCTTAAGATAGTGTAGAAGTCTATAGCCCCATTGTCTGGCACCCCTCCCCTAGGCTCCATCTCACCACCAGAGCTTCAGGTAACCAGCTGTAGCAGTTGCATGCATATCCTGAAACTGTCAACCTGTGTGTGTGTTTTCTTGTCTAACCTAAATCTGTTAATGTATATTGTTCCACTCTTTGCTTTTTTTTTTTTTTTCACATACCTTGGAGATCTTTTCATGCTTGTAGCTCTTCTCAGTTATTGTCTGTAACGTGCAAGTATAGCATTTATGAATTGGTTCCCTACTGGCAGACATACAAACTATCTTGTTACTTTGCCATTATATCTTCATACATATACATTTTATGCATGTGTTTCTCTAGGAGTGGAATTGGTGTATTAAATATTATATTCATTTAAAATGTAATAGGCCAGGTGTGGTGGTTCATGGCTGTAATCCAGTGCTCAAGAGCCTGAAGTAGGAGGATTGCAGTGAGTTCTAGGCTGGCCTGGGTTATACATAGCCAGCCTGAATTACACAGGAAGATCCTTAGCCCTCCATCCCCAAGTTTGTTAATCTCCATATTGTGCTCTCAAGGGTTATATTGGTTTAAACTACTGGTAGTATATCAGGCTGCGTTATTCCCCAGTGGCTGCTATTCTACTGGGTGAAAGAAATAGATTGTATTTAGTAGGTGTTTTGGTGCTTACTGCTGCTCGTCCTTCAGTCTCTGAGTCTTAATGGTAAGATTTTAGACATTTAGAGTGTCTGGGACCATAGTAACCCTGGTGCCTACTCCACAGAGGCCCTGACTCTGTCAAGGTGCTGTGAGTATCGTGTCACCAAGGCTGGCAGCATGGCACCTGGCAGCATGCACTGCTGGTTGCACATTCTTTCCACTTCTGCTGAGCCTGGGCTTGAAAACAGAAGGCTTTAGTTTTGGTACAACATGCCTGAGTATTACTCTGAACCTCCCTCCAGAGAAACCAGGCATGTGTAAGTATGAGCTGAGACCAGTCTGTCCTGCATTGCTTAAGGCAGGGTTTCACAATATAGAAACTGCCAAAAAACTGGATGTCGTGGCTGCTGGAAAAGGCAGTGGGTATATGGCAAGGCAGGATTCCATGTGGAGCAAGTCTTTTCTTTCAGCTGTGTGGCGTTCATTCCCCTGTTCTGACTTGCTGTAGGAATACTGTGGCGGTTGGTCCCTTACTAGGGTCCTATGGGGAGAAGAAATGGTTTTCCATTGCTGACCAACAGCTGGTAGAGGAGGCATATAGAAGCCGGTACAGGGCCATCTCTGCATGCTGTTATCCAGAGGGCTTTGGGAAGCCTTGGTTTCCTGGATGACAGCACCCTCCACCTGCCATAGCAAGGGGTCAGAGGGGAGAGTGCAGGAAGCTTGGTGTGGGAAAGAGACTCCAGAGTGGGGCCTCGCTGGAACCCAGCCATCACTAAGGCCATTATGATTGTGGCACTGTAGCAGTTATTCTCTCTTCAGACCCTAGTCTCCTACTTGGAATACTGTAAGTAACTACCTCACAGAGTGGTTTTGAGGATCGATACAGTAATGTGTTTAAGGCTGTCAGCATGTTACATAAAGTACTCAATAATTTTAAGTAACTACTATTTATGTTTTTTTCTTGATAAACAAAATGAGTAAGTAAATATTACTAAGTTTTTAAAATGTGTAGTTTGGTAATATTACAGAGGAAAAGTCAGCAGTCCCAGCTCTCAGGAGGCTGAGACAGGAGAATCGCAAGTATGAGGCCAGCCTGGATTATATAGTAAGGTCAAATTGGACTATATAAAAGTGGGAAGGCCAGGAGATTAACAGCTGTCTAGAAACACGTGACAGGTAGAGGTTGGGATGGTGCTATTAGCAGGACAGGAGAGTAAGCTTGGACATCTCTTAGCTGTCATGAACCGCTTGCTGGGTGCACACCCCAGCCCCAGATATAGCGGGCTTGTCCCTGTTTTTAGACCGAGTCCTGAGGAGGATGCTAGTATTACTGTCTTTGTAAGTGAATCCCTGAAAGGTGATGTGCTGCCCAAGCCACCCAGCCGGCAGGACAGCAAAGAAGTGGGTGGTTTTCAGCTCTCTGAAGTTGAGATGGTCTTCCTTTTTCCAGTCACTCTTCCTGAGCACCTTGTGAGGTAAGGTAAAGTCCAGGCAGTGCTGGGATTTAGACTTGGGCCTGCTTCCTTCAAAGCTCATGTTCTTATCCTCATAACGGTGCCGGTCCCAGGTCGATGTCCATCTGTGCTAGTTTCGTTTTCCTGGTCACCACTATGCACATGCAGGCATATTTGTGTATGATGGAAAGTTTATTTGGAGCATCTTGTTTGTTTGCTAGTGCTTCATCCAAACCAGATGGTCTGAGACCTGCAGGTTGAGTGTGGAGAGGGCTATACAGAGAGTGCTGGATAGAGAGCAAAAGAAACTTTTCTTTTGGGAGCTGATCTTGGTGTATTGATTGGGAGGAATACTCACCAAAGATTCTGAAAGTCCTGGGTAGACTCTGTGGCCTGCTGAGTTCCACATGCAGAAGCCAGTGGCATGAGTCTGGACCATGTGTGTATAAATTAACTATTTAGCCTGTGGTATGAAAGAGATTTCAGAGTGATGTGTGATAGGCACTGCCCTGAATGGAAGTCAACAGAATGGAGACTCGAGAATCTTAGAAGGCTTCTCAGAAGTAGCATGAATTAAAATGATCCTTGCTAACCCCATACAAAGCAAGCAGATTCAGCTTTTTTCCACCCTGCAGCTTGACAGATAAAGACATTGAGACCCCAGGTCCAAGCTTGGATCCTACCCCTCAGTTCCACCACACCACATATGTGGTTAGTTATTACTGTGTGTAGCGGCTGTCCTGGGAACTGGGCAGGAGAGCGCTCAGTTTATAGGAGCTCTTGTTGTGTGTCTCATGAATAATCAAGGTCTCAGTTCGGTTCTTGAGCGGGTTCTTCTGAGTTAGGGTTAGCTTCCTAGTCTTAGTCTGTAGGATGAGTGATGCACTTCTGTTTCCCTGCCAAGCTCATCTTTATTCATCCAGAATTTAGCAAATATTTGCTATCTACCAAGTGCTAGTTAGTCTACTTGGTGTTAGAAATTTTGTACTGGACGAAAGAAACCAAAATCCTGTTCTTGTGGGGTTAATTTTCTAGTGAGGGTGACAGACACTAAATGATTACAATGCATGGCATGTATGTTAATTTCCTAAGGCTGCAGGAACACAGGACCAGAACTGGTGGCTTAAGCAACAGAACTTTACTCTGCACAGCTTTGGAAGATTTAGGGGGAATCTGTTTCATGTTTCTTTCCTGGATTCTAGTAGTTACTGGCACTTCTTGCTTTTCCTGGCCCTTGGCAGCATAGCTCTAATTTCAGCCTCTTCCATTATATGCCATTGCCTGAGGCTTCCTGTGTCTGTGTATTAGTCTGGGTTCTCCAGAGACACAGAACTAATAGGAGATTAGTGTAACAGTATGACCCCATTGTGTTAGGATTCTCCCGAGAAGCAGAGCCAGCTGGGGTGAGTATATGTCTGTGTATGTAGAGAGATTTATTATAAGGTATTGGCCCACATGCTTATGGGCTAAGAAGTCCCACCAGTCTGCAGCCAGAAAGCCGGGACCAAGCAAAGTAATGAAGTAAGTTCCAATCCAGGTATGAAGACCCAAGAAACCAGGAGAGCTGGTGGCATAAGTTCCATGTAAAAGCTAACAGACTTGAGACTCTAGAAGAGCCAATTTTCTAGTTCATGTCAGAACTAGAAAAGACCAACTCAGGCATTCAGCTAGGAGGAGCTACCTCTTACACAGCTTGTTTGTTCTATTCAGGTCTTCATTTGATCGATGAGATCCACTTGCCTTGGAGAGGGCAGTCTGCTTTATTCAGTCTACCAATCCAAATGTTAATGTCATCTAGAAACACTTTCACAAGCACAGGATAATGTTTGGCCAGATGGGTAGGCATCTCTGGGCCAGTCAAGTTGACATGTAAAATTCACTGTCATACTCAAATTATGTTTACATTTAAAGTCACATTCTCAAGTTTCAGGTGGAGGTTTTTGATATACTAAACAAGCCAGACAGTATCCGGAGTCAGCAAATGTAGAGGGTCCAGTGTGAGCAGGCGCACTGCTAGGTGGTGTAGGGACAGTTTATTTTGAAGTGCACTGTTTGTGTGTGTTGAGAAGAGGTCATGACATGAAGTGCAAGAAGCTGGGTGCATATGTGAGGGACTGAGGATCAAGGAGGTTCTTGCCTATTTTTGTGAAGATTTTGGCCTTTGCTGTAGTGGGATGAAAGTGACTCTTGTGGTTGTGAGCACAAATTGGAGCAGAATTACAGGTGTGGGCTAGTTTGCTGCAACTGTTCCTTGGTATAAAAAAAAAAAAAGAAAAAGAAAAAGAATTAGTGTTCTATTGACCCTGTATCACCATCTTTTCCTATCGTTC